ACAATTATTCAGTGACAGAACATCAGCTTCCCTTAAAGTAATTCTTATCCACTTCACCTTTTAGTAGAAAAAAAAAAAAAAAATTATATATATATATATATATATATATATATATATATATATATATATATATATATATATATATATAGTTTTTTTTTTTTCTTTGATAAACTCAAAATCCTAGAACAAATAGCAAAACGTCATGGTTGCCACAGAGATTATTACAATCGGGACATGTGGACGTGGGATGAGTCCTCTTTTGTCTAATAGAATGGCGTTATGAAAAGAAATTAGCACCATTCATTTAGTAACAACATAGCTGAAATTATTTGAGTACCTCTCAGCTGATTTATAATAAGGTTTTGACAAACACATACAAACACAAAAAGAATCGATGAAAGAATTATTCATATTGTTCTTGGAATTGGTCATTGTTTTTAACGGTTCAAATTCTATAGTTAAATTAATCTGCTTTTTAACGTCAGGACGTGGACGTTCATGGCTCACCACAACATCCTGTCCTTTGTAGCCCTTAGAAAAGTTTATCTAGTCATGTTTTTAAATAGTTTTGTCAGTTCCAGTCTTACATATGGATATCATCCATGGTGCCAAACTCATTCAGAAATATCTAAACTGTCAGTTGTATACAACCGCTTTCTCAGATCATTGGTTGATAAAGGCTTTGAGCGAGTGAAGCCTGAATGTCTTGGCAAAGATCTTCCGTCTTTGAACATTGTGGAATGGCGATACAGATCTACAAAGAACGGTATCAAATAACAGAAACCACACCACTTGATGGTTTTTCAATAACGACAACAGCAGCTAAAATGAATATTACATGTCATATAACTCCAAGCAAAAATAATCAGATAATCAAGATGTTGACGTTCCTAACTAATTCAAATAAAAGGATAGGAAGGAAACCCCATCAATACTGGAATGAGCGACATAAGAAACCTATTTTTCTGAAAAATTGTTTTAAGAGAAAGATTTTATAAATTTTAACGAAAGCAGTACTGGCTGCTCAGTCAATGAACGCCAAATGTTTGTGGGGAAAACGACTAATATTACCAATTGCTATATTTCATAATCCCTGTTCTGTCAACCATTTACACAAATGCTTTTAATTAATGTAGAAGAAAAAAATGTCAGCTTCAAGGGGAGATATTCAAAGTTGATTTTCTGATGATTTAAGACAAAGGCGCCTCGCTGTGGAGTAAGGACTTAGCAAGTTAGTTTGATTTTCATTTTTTTTTACTCGACCGCAGTCGAGATCACAGCGCCTACAACTACGCACCGCAATTAATCGTGAATTCCATAATCTTTCCACTGGCTGTATAGATTGGGCATCACCAATAGCTACATATCCAGTGGCCCAAGATGGCGCAATTCTGTCGTGCATCCTACATTTTCTACATAAACCGGATGTTGACCGTTCGACGACCCAAAGTAGATTGCGTAAATACGTTTTCTGCGTATCTGCTCAACACATACATCCGCTTTAACCAAAAAATTAACATTATATTATGACCAGTTGGAGTTGGTCCTGGTCTAAAATCAAACCCTTTAATTTCGAGCCGACTAAAAACTATATATACCCAAATTCAAACAGACCTACACAGATCGGCGTTTGATATCAACAACGACACAGCGAGGGAGGGGGAGAGAGAGAGAGAGGCAGGCCACCGACGACCACCACAAAGTGTTCATTTCACTTCTAATTTTACCACTCACTCTCTCCCTTTTGCCTTAGCAACAGATAGAAGTTACCAGTTATATATATATATATATATATATATATATATATATATATATATATATACCTCTACTCAATGTCCCCTTTAGTTTGACACTTGGATTTACGTTTGCCGAGGCGGAGAAAGAATTAACCTCCACAACAGTAATAGCACAACAACAAGGTTCTATCTTCCAGGTTTCCCATTTCCGCCTCCACAGCAGTTCTCTACTAACGATACAATTATTAATGTTTAAATTAAAATTGAAACATACGCTAGTCAGTAGGAAAAAAGTAGACTAGAACAGAGGTTTCGTGGCAACGTTTAACGTTCGTGGTCGCAAATTTATAAATATCTCTGAAAACATTCATTATAGTTTTTTCACATTTTTATAATCTTGTAATTGTAGAAATAGTCTTGTAAATAAACAATCTAATAAATAAATAAATAGTGATGAATAAAAAAAAATGATTAAATCTAGTTTCATATTTGGCGGCTTTATTAAAATTCTCGCTCTTTAAAACAAACATTGCCGAGGGAATCGAAAGTGTTTACCGTAATAGCAGTATCAAGGTAATAACAGTCCTTTGGACACACCGGTTTTTTTTTTTGTTGTTGTTGTTGTTGTTGTTTTTGTTTGTTTGTTTTTTTTATTTTTTTTATTTTTTGGTCACGATGTTTAGACAGACAGTTTTGCTATTGCCTGTCCCACGTTTCATTTCAATCTACCTGCAATCGAGTGAGATATTTATACTCCTGATTAGTACATGAACTAGTTTTGAATTCAGAGTTGTCCTTTTCATAGATTGGTTGCCAACTATGGCTAGATAGCCAAGTCTGGCCTGCTATTTAGACCATGAGAGAAGAAGGGTATTTGTGCGAAAGTGAATGTAACGAACTCGACCGGAATTCGAACTCAGTTCGCCAGTCTCTCCTTCTGGGCTGCTAACCGTTACGCCACGCGTTCATCCTTATGATATAGCGAACTTGAACCTCACTGTGTGCCCCACAGGCTAAGCTTACTAAATGCCGATAGCAATTTTTCATAGTTTTCATAGTTTTCGCACTTGCACGATCGGTCAGGCCGTAAGGTGCGTCATGTTTGAAAAGTCAACTTTTCATTCTAGGTATATTCGTCAAAAGAGAAGAAAGATGAAGTAAGGTATGGACAATCTCCAGAAATATTCTGTCTCAACAGTAATGTCAAACATTTGCTATATCCGTTGTCAATTACGACAGTGGGTAAAATATTGCTTTTTTTTTTTGTTAGCGTCGTTATCAGTTATTGTCGGGTTATGTAATCCAAGTGCTTGAGAAATATATACATCTTTGTATAGTGGGGGGGGGGTCGTTATTTCTATATTTCCTTATAACTACCTTTTTTTTTTTTCAACATTCTATTGATTTTTAAAAAAAATTCCATTTGAGTTTTTACTTTACTTATTCTATTGCCGTGTCCCTTCAGGGCGTAGATGATCATGGCTCCCCAACTTTCTCTCCTTTATACCTCTTGGTAAGGTTTGTCTGACTCTCTAATTGTGTAGAGTGTGTTCTTTTGGAGTTGGCAAGGCCCACTAATGAAACTAGAACCTGTCTTGCCAGGTGAGACATAAACAGGCTATGTGCACCCTCAAATGCTTTCGACGTTTTCCTGATATAAAGATAACACGAAACTTGTTCCGGGAACACTCAACTGATTTTCAGATACTCTATTAGACTCCCGCGTTCGCCAGGTCTAAACCCCATTGACTATGTACTGGACATGTTGCAAACTTCAATAAATTCTAAGAAGTCACGACCAGCAAATAGCATGATTATAGACAGACCTGTAATGTGCTTGGAGAAAGTCACGCAACGACTTACACTATAGACAAGATGCCACGTCACGAAGCTGGAGTTGTTCAGGCGAAGGAATAAGAGATTCTCGGTATTAGATAGCTGTCCAGATTTATTTTTTAGCACTTCATTTTATATGTATATGATAGTTGCCTGACCTCTGCCAAGGTTGACAATGGGTATAATGTCTTTTATTGTTACTATTGTAACGGTTGTTGGTGCTGAATCGACGAGCGGTATGCATGAAATGTTAGATTATACAAACGTCCTTGGTGGGAAAGGCATTGATCCATGAATGCCCCTCTTCCAACTACGAGCTGCACAATGGACTGACTTGAAAAGCAGCCAGTCTAAGAGAAGGAAAACTGAATGCAACGTGAAACCACCTGTCTTTCCTTAAGGATGCACGACAATTCATAAGAAAAAAGAATCTGTGGAGAGCCATTATCACCTAAATGCCGAAAAGGACATGGCATTTAAAATAATGCATAGAAGTGTTATGAGAGAGTGGTTTACCTATGAGTCTACACACCCACTCACTCCTCAGTGAACTTTCATTTCATTTTATTTTTTTTTTTTGTCGTCAGGAACAACATCGCAAGAATAAAAATAAACAGTGTAAATTGCAGCGTACAAGTCGAATTTTAAATCCTAAAAATATTTTTAAAACTAGAGGTTGACTTATATGGCAGTTATAAAATGCAAACTACCAAGTTATAAACAAGTGGGATATCACTCCTAACAATTACTTTACACTACTTACAGTACCTCCAGTAGGCTGCCAAAAATATATCCCACTAAAATTTTTGTTTGGAAAACAGATTTGATATATTAATACAGAATATAAAATAGTATCATAAATTCAGTATTCTATAGGTAAAAATTGGTGGCGGAAGTTTGTTTACATCACTGACACAAAAAAAAAAAATGAGTGATACTGTGTTTTACAAGAACATGCGATACATAGTGCTGTAAAAACCTGGTATGATGTGTAATCTACGGTATTAATATTTTGTAGGTGTTGATGTTGAATCTAATGTGTTTATCAGTAGACCTGATGAATTTTAAATGTTGACTAAGAAGCTATACAGTACAAGTGTGTTTTGTAGGTTGTTTGCTGTACAACGCATATAGAACGATACTACGATTACTGTCTCAATATACAAATGGTGTGATCTTATGTAGTTTTAGCACAGATTATCGTATACTGTAGCCTAACTTCATTTACCGGTAGGCCCAAGTTTTGGGCCACTGGGAGCCTAGCGTGTTTGGGGGGTCGACCTATACGGTAGCTATAGGCTTCACTCAGAACTTTGAGCTAAAAATCTTGGGGCCGATTTGTACGCGAGGTCGACTTGTACGCCGCAATTTACGGTAAATAAATAAAAAATAAAAAATAAAAATCAATAAAAAAAAATGTCAACTTACCCCTCATATACAAGACGTTGGTGTCGTCATCGGTAAGTTTTGCGTGTTCATCCCGCAGCAAGTAACTTGATTTTGTACAGCATTTGCAACAGCGGAAACAACACCGACAGTATTTCAGAAAACAAATCTCCGTTCTCTTGATGCAGTAGAACAAGAGAAAAGCCAATCCAAGCAAGAACAAAATAATTAAAATCAAAATCGGAACGATCCAGATAAGATCCAAGTTAGAGAGACCATCCTCGAATGGGCCCGGAGTCGTCGACGAACCATTGCCGGTTACATTGACCAGCCACGTGCCATTAGTGTCCATATAGTCGGTAAAATTATAAGTTGTAGTGACAGCATGAACCAGTCTCTGAACAGTGGTCATGGGATCTTTGGTGCTACTCATTGTGCTTGGGTTGTCGGGGCGACTAGTGGTCGTTATTACCTCTTGGACCAATGTAGACACGAATAGATTAGACGCGTTGGCCAGTATGTCGTCATCAAACGTCTGATTTATGCTGGAGCCGGACATAGTGCCTTACGATCTGAAAATAAAAATATAATTGAAATAACACCACTAATCATTATATATATATATATATATATATATATATATATATATGAATGATAAAATATAGTTTTAAGGTATGCTATATATTACGAAATGCTGTAAAATGAAGACATAATTATTATTAATTTAGAACAATTCTAAGCCTTCCTGGATCCCCTAAATCAATATCACATTTCTGCTACAATTAGTGATAATTACTTAGTATGCTAGATATAGCATACCTTAAAAATATATTCTATCATTATATTATATTTTATATAAAAATATATTTTATCAGTGTGTGTGTGTAAAGTTTCTAAATAATAACCTATTAAAAAATAGACATGAGTTAACGGTTTTTGTCGACATCATCAAATTCATGGTTTGAATAATTAGCTAAAAACAAGCATACAATATAACTTTTATAATCCATAGCCCAAATAAATAGTTTAAATACCCTACAAAAAAGATAACCCTTTATGAAGTCGTCAAAAAACAAATGTCACGGCAGTTTTTTTTTTATATGTACAAATCCCTTTCATAAAGAAATAAAATAAAAAATAAATAAATCTCCATAGACACGTAAACCAGACTAGGCTAAAATATCTTCCGTTTCAAATTTAGACACCCCCACCTTATCCTGACTCGACATCTATTACTGATACTTATTATTAACACCCAATACACGCCTACCCAATTTAAACAATTCGCCCTAGCTGTTACCATGGAAATTTTGATTTCAATTATTAAAACACGTAAATTTCAGGAATACGTTATTCCAAAAAAAAAAAAAAAAAAAAAAAAAATTTCGCTTGAAGAAGATGGAACAGAGCTTACTTTAACTCAATTTAGTTCAAATAATTATATTGAAGTTTTCGGCTCTTGTTTTAAAACATGAGACCTCTTATGTCGCGAGTTGGAATCATATTTTTAAATAAATTATATATATATATATATATATATATATATATATATATATATATATATATATATATACACACACTGATAAAATATAGTTTTAAGGTATGCTATATTTATGGGTTAAATGCTCAATATCAGGGTTGAGCGTTTGTAAATATAAGAGTGGACATTGAAATCAACACCCAGAGTCAACAATCTGTTTCATGCTTAAACGCAATCGTCGAGCCATCAATTTCGTGTGAATGAGAGAGAGAGAGAGAGAGAGAGAGAGAGAGAGAATGTTCAATATCAGTGTTTGAGTGATTATAAATATAGACACGGTAGACATAAAAATCATCAATGCATTGCGACTATTAATTTCATACGTCAATGCTATCTGCAGACCAAATATCAGTACTATTTTAACGGACTTTATATATAGGCCACTGGGGTATTAAGGGAAGTGGGAAGGAAACCGACCCTTCCTAGTATAGTAAATAAATAAGCTGAACTATTAATCCTAAATAAAAGAACTTCCATTAATCCCCCAGTGGCTTATATATAAAGCCCACTTAAGTAGTAGTAGCACTTGGACATGAAACCGATAATTTCCATACAGTGTTCATTCTTATGTTTCCACACACACAGAGCCTGTGTGTGTGTGTGTGTGTGTGTGTGTGTGTGTGTGTGTGTAATTGTGAAATAATTTGTGTAACGCATTTCTTACTGCTGAATTAATAAGGACATTAATCCAATGAAAACATTTTAGAGGACGAAACGCGTTACACAAAATATTTTTCCACTTTATCACTCAATTACCTAACATTGTTCTGATAGAAATTTATCTATATCATATTATCCTAATATATTTGAAGATATTTATTGTTTATAGATACAAATATTTAAGAAAATATTCTGTTTATAATAAACAGTATTCACAACATTTATCGGCCTGAATGTCCGAGAAATTTCATAGAAAATATGTGTCATCCGACAGGAATCGAATCTACACGGAGGACACATTTTCTAGGAAATTTCTCAGACATTCAGGCCGATAAATGTTGTGAATACTGTTTATTATAAACAGAATATTTTCTTAAATATTTGTATCTACAAAAAATGTCGTATAAACAATAAATATAGTACATTTAATCAAGCACACAACCCAGTCTGACACTGTAAAATACCTGTGCACTGTAAATATGCACTATTTTGTCCTACGGATAAGTTCGCCCCCCTTTTCCGCTATTCTATTCCTCATCCAGACGACATAATTATAGAAAATGATGAATATAAAACAATTTATGTACGTTAGCGTACCAATAAATAAATAAAAAATAAAAAAAAAATAAAAAAATAAAAACATAAATAAATAAATAAATAAAAAAATTAAAAAAATAAGAGGAAAGCCCCAAGAGCAATAAGCTACATGTGTGGTCTTACCAGCTAGCGGTCAGCTCACGAAGCAGCGGCTTGTTTCCAGTATTGTCACCATTCCGTCCGTAGCACACGCTACTTATAAATTGAGTCGGCTACTTCAGATTTTATCAGTTACTTCCGATATCCATTAAAGGGAAGCTCGTATACAGAGGTATGAGTGTGCACACATGCATATAACAGTTAGTGTTCACTTTGCGCCTCCTTTGATTTTAGAATGGCATATTGTAAAGAAGCAGTTAAAATTAATTTATACGAGAAAACTTTTGAGCGTTCCCAGACACCGCTTTTCAAATAATCTATGCCACAATGTTGTGAATTGTTGTCTATTAGAGAGAAGGTTTGAAATACGACAGGAGACATTGCGGTTTCGTTTGACGCATTTTACTATATATTTTATCATTTTACCCAAGCATGGCGATAAAGCCATTAGAACGCAGAGGGTTCTAGGACGTGAAAGGAAATGGGAAGACTTTAGTGGGGAGAAGTGAGAAAAGGAAAACAAAGGAACAGGGTCCAGGAAGACAGAAGATAGCGATTGACGTTGTATTTAATTTTTTTTTTTTAAATTGTAAGCAGCAGGGAAGCAAGAAACCGAAAGGGAGTTTCACAGACGAGAAAAGAAATTGTTAGAATAGAAGTGGCGGTTGCATCACGCTAGTTCAACAGTAAACGGGTGGGACCTAGATGCCAATCTGGTAGCACGCTTAAATTAGTGCAGTCGAGGCACTAAGGACAAAAGCACGTCAGAGCAGTTGCCATGAAAATATTTGTAGAAAAGATAGAGGAAAGCCACGTCACGTCTGTGAGTCGATTTGCCCGGTCAGGATCGATTACATTACAGACTTCCTCGACTTTTGTCAAGAATCTCTAGATATACAGCAGAAGCGTCAGTTCAAATGTCCTAACGTAGACCTAGATTATAATGTTCTTTCTGTAGGTACAAAAAAATCTTCCGTTAAACCTGCAGGAAACCTACATGCCCTTTTAAAATTAAATTATCACTAAGTGTAGCAGAAATGTGATATTGATTTGGGGGATCCAGGAACGCTTAGAATTGTTCTATCTAAATTAATGATAATTATGTCTTCATTTTACACCATTTCGGCTTACGAAAGAATACATAGGAAAGTACTTTATTCAGAAAACGGGGAAATATAACTATTTTGTTTAAAACCTGTTATATTTATGAGAGAAGAAGGCCCACTTTCGGAGATCGAGCGTTTGGTTTGATTTGATTTGTTTTACGACATATCAACCTCAATGGATTATTTAATACCGATAATCTTTTATTGCTGATAAATTTTTTTTTTTTTTTTTTAAATGTATTGCTGGTAGTATTTTCTTTTAATATACTCCTGATAATAATTTTTAAAAAATTCTCATATTAAAACCTATTTTTACACTTTCATAGTGTTTTGACCTCAGTTTAGGGGTTAACTATTTGCCCATAGCTGGGACCCTAACAGGTGGTACCACCTCAGGTTAGGGTGGACCCGGGAACATCAGCAATTAAGAGTTGGTTACACGCTCCTGAAAACCTCCTGATCAGAGGCCTTGCTGTCAGACGTAATTTACCGTCTTACCCAGGACGCAGATGTAGTTTATTGTAATACCCAGGACAGGACAGAGCGTTTGTAGATTAAACTGTAAGCATAGAAATCAACACTACACGGTGACTGACAGTTTTACACGTTGAACGATCATCACGAATAATACTTAATCTAAAACAGACTGGGGCATCATCATAGAATAATGGTGTGCAGCATAATCTCGCAGGAGATTGATAGTGAGCACATTCCTAATTGTTCTTCTTATACTATTATCATTCACTATCAAACTCAGCACAAGTTAAAATCCCATAAAAGAATTGTAAACACAGATAATTTTGGTATCTGTCTATATTTCTGAGATGAGGTTTCATGTACACTATTTACATGTTTCGGACTATTGTCCTCATCTTTGTCGCCATATTTATTACAACGTTTCGGCCGTTGTACGCCCCGGCCTTCTTCAGGTGTTTGGAATGTCGAACTGAACCCTTTATTTCGCTCACTGGGGTCGACTGTTTTAGTTCCACGTGTCATGTCTAGTGGATGTCAGTTGTCCTCAAGGAAACATGGCACAGTGGATAAAGGCGTTAGTTAAATCCAGTGACAGGACCCAAAGAGTGTGAGTTCAATACCTGGTTAAGGCAGTAGTGAACTTGGAGAGGGAAATTAACAGGAGATAACTGACAACCATTAGACATGGCACGTGGAACTAAAACAGTCTACCCCAGCGAACGACATTCCAACCACCTGAAGAAGGCCGGAGCATACAACGGCCGAAACATTGCGATAAATATGGTAGCAAAGATGAGGATGATAGTCCGAACAATGTAAACAGTAAACAACAACATCCTTCGAAAACACCAGAAGACAAATAGAAGAGACGAAGAGAACCCTATGAAAAGCCAGAGCACTCCATCCTCTGAACCCTGCTACCAAACCATACGGTGTTTGCAGACGTCTCTTCAAAGCCAACACAGGATTCATTTCACACAGAAGAAAATACCTATGAGTACCCCAATACTCGGCAATGAGTACCGCCAACGACGACAACGAGGAGGGGTCCTGTATTATTCTAATATCCTTCCTAAATAT